AATTAATCAACCAACCAACAAGCCAACCAACCAGCCAACCAACCAATTAACCAACCAACCAACCAATCAACAAACCAACCAACCAACCAACCAACCAACCAACCAACCAACCAGCCAACCAACCAACCAACAACCAACCAACCAACCAACCAACCAACCATCCATCCAACCAACCAACCAACCAGCCAGCCAGCCAGCCAGCCAACCAACTAACCAACCAACCAACCAACCACAAGCCAACCATCCAACAAAACGGCGATCACTCCCTAAGTATTATTTGAGCATGTAGCACAAGTAACCAACTTTCCAGAAAACTTTGTTATAAAACCTAACATTGATTTGCACTCTACAACGTCGATGTCACGTGTTACCCTATTGAGCGCCATGTCTCTCATTAAGTTGCTCTCCTTGTCAGTGATGACGTCATGGTACAGAACAACCAATGGGCTTCCCTGGTGGAGAGGCTCCATCTTGACGGGGCTGAGGTAGAAGTACGGGCTGGAGCGGACGTATCTACAGGCAAGCGTTGAGTGTGGATCTTGTTTCTGTGTAAGCAAGATAAGCTAATTTGTTACATGTACCTCCATGAAAAGTGGAGGGATTGTTTTTGTATTCTGGTTACCAAACCTATCATAGCTCCCGACACCGACACTCGGGAGCTATGATAGGTTTGCTAACCAGGCTATTGTTTTTGGTCTCTGTGTGTGTGTGTGTGTGTGTGTGTGTGTGTGTCCACACATTTGTAGTCATCATCAATTTAGCTATCCTTTTTGGATTGTGATGATATTTGGTGTGTTGTTAGGTCGTAGAAAGACCAAGGTCAAGTTTCAATATTGTTTTTGGCGCGTCTGTGTGTGTGTGTGTGTTTCCACACATTTGTAGTCAGCATAACTTCAGAACGCCTTTATGGATTGTGATGATATTTGGTATGCTGGTGGCTGACCTTGGTACTGCAGCACAACTGGTTTTCGTATCTTTTGTCCTGAACATTCTATGGTCTTGAGATGAAGGCTTTATTTGCATAATTACGGAGTAAATTATGTAATTGAAGTGTTTTCCATATAGTATTGTCATGTAAAATAGGTAGTCTATGGCAGGTTGAACATGAACAGATAAATAATGACCTAATTTACATAATTAATGAAAAAATTCTTAATGGTGAATGATGGGAATTTTATACCCTGTGACATGTGTAAGTTACTTAATACTATGCATATATTATGTTAATGTAAAGTTATTTGCATAATTAATGAAGACATGTTGAAATGAAACATGGCTAAAGGATAGGAGTTTCAGACGCAAACATATTGTAATTTGAGTTTAGAAAACCACAAACTAAAATATATTATGGTAATTACGACCTTATTTTCAATAATCAATTAGAGAAATCCCAAAAAAACATTAAGAAAAATTCTACATATTTCATGAAGGTATGACTGTTTCTTGTTTTTTTTTAAATTTAAAATAACCGCTGTTATTATATTACTGTTCGGTACGGTTGCTTACTGGCTTAACTTTGGGATTTTCGAAATCCTCAAAAACCGTACTCTATGTTTTCTTAGTCACAACTGACTTTATTTATAACAATGAAAAGAAGTCTGACAAAAGTGTACCAAACCTTGAGAACTCCAAGACGGCAAAGATTTTCGTACTTGACTTGAGGTATTTCCGTTCTTATAGGCTTCCTTAGCGACGATGTGGCGTTTTCTAAGAGATTTGAGATGAGCGTCAATCCTTCAACATTGGCATCTGTCTTCTGCGCAGTCGCACCTGACAGACAAAAAGACGAGAGAAAAACAAACAAATTTTAGCGTGATTTTAAGTCACAATTTCCTGTGGCATGTAGCATTAGTTATATTTCACCTATACTATAGTTGGAGTGAAATGTATTTTTTGTAAGTTTTTCCTCGTATATTCAGGTATTGTCCAGACTATCCTGAAACATTTTGGTAGATAGATTTTCCAAAACATTATGCAATAAAAGTTTTATGCCCAAAATTGACAATATCTTTTCATATGTTTGAAAACCATGGCATTATAGCTTCCATTCGTTGTTGGTACCCACATAGGCAAAATCCATAGAGACACTTGTTGAGGTTCGAAAATACAAACTTACCGAACTTTGATACTGCCATAAACAGAGCCCGGTCGAACTTGATCTAAATAGACAGGTCCAAGAAATAATCTCTGGTTAATATTTCACTAGGTTCTATATGTGTAACTATATATGTAACAAATTATGTTTTTTGTACAAGGTTGTCTTATGATTCTTGTGAAAAATCATCACAATTCTTTACAACAAGCCTTCATGTTAACGTCAGACCGGGTACATCTAGTGGTAAAGACGCACCGGGTCTCTCGGCGGCAGGTCTAATTTTAACAACACAAGATATAGCTCTTGCTATTATGAATCAAGTTTAAACTGTAATTTCCAACACAAGAAATTGGACTCACCCAAATTTTCGACTGTACAACTCCAGTCTTTGTCAAGGAATGAGCAATCCACCGCTTCAGTCTCAATGGACAAAGTAAGAATCTTGGACTCAGAACCGGATTTCTTTGCACGAGGGATTAAAGAGGCCATCTACATCAGGGCATTACAACCATCCCTCAACAGAGACGGGGGGCGCCACAGACTTTCTGCAACCTATGATCCACTGCTCACGGAGTCACGTGTGTTATCTGCGTGACGTCACAAAAGCGGTGGATTGCTCATTCCTTGACCGACTGGAGTTGTACAGTCGAAAATTTGGGTGAGTTAAATTTCTTGTGTTGGAAATTACAGTTTAAACTGGCATCATAATGATTTCTACCAACACAGATGAACTTTTAAGATATAGCTCTTGCTGTGGATATTCCACACTCAAGTCAAGAGTTGGTTACCTTCTGTACGGTATCCGCTAGTTTCAGTAAGACCTTTGACATCCTCAGACCAGCCTGGTTGGTCACTGACTGTTTCTTCTCTCTCATTATCTCTAAGGTCAGGTTGAACCATAACACCGCGTGATAAAATTTATTTTCTTTACACGCTACATCCCCGATATAGTATGTGTCTGACAGTTCCAGTCTAAAGGCCGGATCCTTACTACAAATTTCGGTCATCTCAGGGTCTTCGCCATTGGTTGATTGTGACGCCATCACAATCTGCCCTTGGACAAGGCTGCGCATGTCCAAACTATACACGTCCTGAAGCGTTATCAGTGCGAGTGCCGTCATGTGTAGGTCTTCAGCGGTTGGGAGTTGGACCTCTTTTCCTTTACATGCAAGAATAAAGGGGTGTTGTTGATTAGTGATTGATGGTTCTGTCCATTTTGTCCAAACATGATTGATAATTTAGCATGAAAGTTTATCTGTGTTGGTACAAGTCAGAATTAGGACTTACCTAAATTTTCGGTTCAACCTTGTTCACGGAATGGACCCGTCTACTCTTGGAACGTGAGGTCAGAGACATGTGACCGTAGTAGCGGGTCATACGTGCCAGATAACTATACCTACCCTGAACAGAGACGGGGGGCGACACAAGTTATCTGGCACGAATGACCCGCTAATACGGTCACGTGTCTCTGACGTCACGTTGTAAGAGTAGACGGGTCCATTCTGTGAACAAGGTTGATGGAGTCAACCGAAAATTTGGGTAAGTCCCAATTCTGTAATCTAAGTGTTGGAAGTTAAAGCTTAGTCTTTATAATGATTGATAATGTGCACCATTTCACAATGGACTGTACACTATACAATGATAAGTGCCTATTGCTGTTCACCTTTCTTTCCGCTTTTTCAACTGATTTCAATACGTTAGATCCTAAAGATAAATTCAATTACATCCTCAAGGGAGATAACCAATACAGTGTTCAAATAGGAAAATACATTAAAGAATGTTTCGATCTTAGAGACCACATGTTAGAGAATAGTTAAACCTTTATTGTTACCGCATACATATACTCTGTACGTAGGAGAGAGAAGGGCCCCTGAAAATCTTCGAAAACGAAGCCAAGCCAAGCCAAGAAGACTCTGTACTTAAGATGAAGTTATCCACACAATGTAGTTAGCTTCGTTAGATCTTTAGTTGTAGAAGACCATACAAAAGTCCCTGTACTTTTTGTTGTGTCAATAAAGAATCTGGTATTTGTACTGACCTTCTATCAGCTACAACTATTCAAACATCCCAAAAATCCCAAAATACGACAGCACACATAGGACCACATCTCTCAATAATTATGTCACGGATCACTGTGTTTTCATTTGTTTCAGCCATTTGTTTAATTTTGAAAATGAACGAAAATTGAGGCACATTTGGGTGTCATCAATATAAGAAAGTCATGCCTCTTATTTACATTGTTGATATTTATCAATATTCCTTTCTTTTTAAATTACTCTCTAAATTTATCCACTACAACGTACATATGGAATAAAAATTATTATCAAAATAAGTGCTAATATAATATGTATAATTTGTTAGTATGTACTTGCCAGTTACTTGCCAGTCCAAAACCATATGAACCCGTTTATCGCGAGCATCTCTTCTTATTTTATCCTGTTTTAAAGTCTCCTAGAAAAACAAAGTACCTATTTCCTGAGTCAAAATGTTATCTACATATACCAAAAGCAGCACGAATGACCATGGTATGTTCCGAACAAACATACAAAAATCAGAGGTTGCAGTTGCAAGGAAATCCGCTAGGGGCGCTCAACAAATGTTTTTCTCAGATACGTCAAGACCTAAATACATAACAAATATCATAACAATCCATTGGAGGTAAAAATCAGTGTTATTCAGCTTGTTTTTGTACTGCCTGCAAGGCTGATTTTTTATTAATAAACTGTTGATTACTGACCTGTCAGCATGCTGACCTCTGCTGAAGAGATGTTACTGAGTCGCTTGATGAGGAGGTACGCCCTGACGGGGTGGGACGCCTGCTGTGCCGTATGGTCGCGCCCCGCCACCGAAAATATGTCGCCACAACTGCTGATATATCTGAAATGAGCACAGCACAACTATTACTTCTTGCAGTTTTCGATTCTGAAATGATCTTCCGGAGCTCCGCTAGGAGAACGCGTTCTGCACATAAGTTTGATACACCATATTGCCGCACAGAACGGTAAAAAAAATCGCCCATTCCTCACATTGTTGATCTGTTAAACGCTAGTTAATTAGTGCAGTATCTGCCCTCATATCATTTAAGTGTCTGAAACCTTTAACAAAGCCCATAGCCAAGTCTTTAGCCTTGTCGTATTGACATTTACCTCTACTTGTTGTGTAAATAGGTATTATAGCGAATTTGTGTTATTATCGTGTAAATTATGTAATTTTTAAACCATTAGTATAGTTTAACGTATAATTTTATGAACTGTAAAAACAACTCAACTCAGACTCTCGTCTGCTAGTTGTTTGAATAAAGATTGATCGATTGATTGTATCTGTGTCGGTATAGCCGGTATAACCGCCCTTCGGCAGCTATCTATATAATATAACACCGAACGATTTGTTACACTCAATCTTTGTACATTCAATTGCAGGAGTTGTTTAAAGCTTTCGAGTGATGAGGCCCAAACTGCGCTTGGTGGCAACGAATTCAACTGTACGATAGTTATTGGATCAGCATCAAATTGACTTGCTTTGTAAGTTATTTAACATTGAGCACAAAATGCCCCAACATCTCAAAACACAGTGAAAAAGCTGTCAACAGGATCATTCCGATGCCTTCCTGTCCTATGCAAATGAGGTTTAGACCCCCTGTTTTCGCTAAGCATTCTGGGGATGGGAAACTGGTGAATACAAATAAAGCGATTCTACTTCGACCCTGTCACACATGTACACTCACGACCTTCCCGCGAATTTGTTTCCAGCCGACCAGGTTCGGCTGACGTTCGGAAAGGCTGTGACCAGATAGATTTAGACCACACCTACCTCATTATACGAATCGAAATGAACTTTGTTAAATTAGAGTCAGATTTAACCACCGAACAGTGCAGACTTACTCCCGTATATGAACTGGAGTTCTGCTAACTTTTAAGGCATCCATAAAGGTTGGAAAACCGATTTTTCAAAGTCAATATTACAGTCACTTATCATACATACAGAGTTGAAACCACACTGTCCCAAAGTATATTGACCCTCATGGAGCAATAATTCCCAAAATTCTGACGGACAACGGCTACTGGAAGGGCCCTGGGCTGATATTTAGGGTACCACCCATAAAAAAGGACTCATCTTGGGGCTTGTTTCTGCAGTTTTAAATGCCCAAATATATGACTTGAAATGTGCTAATTATGAAGCAGTATGTGTCAATATCACAAAGATTTCCTTATTCACAATATAAGGATATCCGGTTTTGCTGCTATGAAGTCGCATTGGATGCCTTTAAATAAGATTGGATAGCCGAATACCATCCAATCATGGTTGAACCTCCCGACCAACCCTCGTATGTTTTTAAGATTTTGAATCATTCGACTGTCGCAGCCAAATGGTAGCCAAATCCACCCCCCCACACGTTTTCACAATGAAACATTCGAGTCTGACAGAAATTTTGTCGATGTGATTTTCCCATAGTGGCAATGATTTGTCTACACACATGATGTAACACAACGAACAGAGCGAAGTTACCGTTGCATATCTGCAGACACTTTCCCGCCATCCTGAATGTGCTGTTTTACCACAGACACGATCTCTCTCTCTTCTTGCACCAGTTTCTCCAGCCGAGCGACTGCCGAGAAATATCCCGCGTCTGTTGTACACAATATCGCTTGGAACAAGACATAAAGTAGTACACGAGAAGGGTGGTCCATTGGTACAGAACCGAACAACTACAGGAGTAGTGAAAATGTTCTATGAAAGAATGAAAACAAGCTTTCTGGAGTGACTAAACACGGATGCTACACGTGTCAGTGTTGTGTATATACGGCACGTATTACGTAGTGCTGCTGTATCCTGGTTCATACGTGGTTCCGCATGGCATGTTGCTACAGGTAGTAAACGATAAGATTGTTCAAGGTACGTGTGCGTGAACATAGGGACGATGGAATAAAGCACATTGCATGAATTATGAACCGATTCATGCCCGTAGCCAGGATTTTGAATGGGGGGGGGGGGGGGGTTCTTCTCACTGCTTGAGGGGACCTCGAGCGCCGAGGCGAGCGCCCAAAGCGCGGGGTGGCCGGGGGTATGCTTCCCCGAAAAATTTTTAATAATGAACCTTCTGAAATGGCATTTCCTGCGTTTTTGAGAGGATTTCAGAGAAAAAATCAGAGATAACTTTTTATTCAATGATAAAGTAGGTAGTTTTTATACGATTCCAGACCCGCTGATGATACGAATCAGTCCATCCGAACCCCCCCTGGCCATGCATATGGCTACGGGCATGCGATTGCATGAATTATGTTGATGAGATGACCAGAACTCGCTGCAAAATATTGGTCCTGGCCTGTAAATTACGCCGCCACAAAGATGTTGAAATATGTGTCCGCTAAATTTCTGTTAACAGTTATATTCCTTACTTCAGAAATTTTAAAGTACCTGTTTTGGCTGAAGTTTTGAACGGACTTTGACTGTGATAAATGAAGGCACACTCCAATAATAGATAGTAGAAATCGGCTTAAACAGGGGATATAATTGGCCAGAGGAGGGTCCATTTCCTTCTCTGATCGACCAACTCCTCTGGCCAAGCAAATCCCCCTTTTTAAGCCGATTTCTACTATTCATCGAGCCTGCAAAGGAGTCTGGGTGGAGACTAGCAGGTTACGAAACAAAATGCTATAACGGTTATATTTATTTATTTGATAAATTAATAACGTTATAAATTAATAACGTTAACGTTAGTATGTCGGTCTTAGAGGTTGACGTTATTTTGCGAGCAGATGAGGTCGTATACCTCTAGAAAAATAGAACTCTGGTTGAAACTTCCTCGGACTTTAGAGAACCCTCCCGTAATCCGTTGATATGCTTGAAGCACCGACGAGACTCAGTTAAAAAGCGCCCCATAGCGACAAATGAGAGAACCTCATATGAGGTCACAAGACCCGGAACCCTCCTCGCCGACACACACACACACACACTACTGCAGCGCGGTAGAAACGTGGACTAATTTGGTCAATATCTTCAGATATCTAACATAACTACGTACTAAGTAAAGGGATGGCAGAGGTGAGTATTCCAGGCGTTATATGAATGCAACCTTAACGTCATATCTGTTTGGACAGACGATATGTGCCGAGGGCAGTGCATAGTAGGGGGGAGGGGGGTGGATGGAATTTGTGACAAAAATTATATTGCTGTGGGCCTATAGTTTAAGTTAGAAAGTAGCCTTAATAGTTATATAGTGTAAATCTCTTTTTGTGTTATATGCGTGTGTTTTTACTTATACTATGTTGTTTGTTGTAATTTGTTTTTTCTCGAATGAACCCTAGAAGACTAAGCCTTTTGGCTAAAGGGTATCCAAATAAAGAGAAATAGAGAGAGAGAGAGAGAGAGTGAGTGAGTGAGTGAGTGAGTGAGAGTGAGTGAGTGAGTGAGTGAGTGAGTGAGAGTGAGTGAGTGAGTGAGTGAGTGAGTGAGTGAGTGAGTGAGTGAGTGAGTGAGTGAGTGAGTGTGAGTGAGTGAGTGAGTGAGTGAGAGTGAGTGAGTGAGTGAGAGTGACTGTCTGACTGAGTGGACATGCTATGGTCTTGATTTTTTCCAATTGAAATAGATCATACGTTACAACTTACAACAGTCCTTATTTATATTATGATCATTATGTTTTCTGCCTCTTAGGATCTGAAGAGATACATCTTTAGGCTGATGTCAAAGTGAGTTACTAGTACCTGTTATGTTGATGTTTTAGTTCCAAATTATGCTGATATTCCTTTGAGTCAATGTAACCACGTAATGATTTCAAGTAATTGTTTAGTTACCTGGTGTGATGTTTAATATATATATTTATAAGAACATTGGGAGTTTGGGTTTGAGTTACTCCCTATGAGTATGAGTATGAAGTCATGTTATGTGTGGATGTACATGTATGATCAGATGTATGTTTTCTATGTACCTGCAGGGTGGATGGACTTTATGGGATTGCGATAACTGATCGTGACGGCGTGCCAGTTCTGAAAGGTACCTGTGTTTACTTGACTAAGGCCACACCAATTTAATTTCTTGGTTAATGGATTTTTCTAGGAAAATAATGGAGCGGGCGGGGGAAAAAAAAAAAGAAAAGAAAATAAAAACAGGCCTACTAGTAGGCATCCTATCATGGCCCAAAATGGTACGATATAGGAGCCATGAAGTCAACACACCAGGCTGGTTCAAAATTTAAACAATGAATTTTGAACTTTTAATGATACCACTACATTGAAAGATGGAATAACTGTAACAACTAGAAAGAAAAGGACTGTTTTGAACTGTTCAGGGCAAAATATTGAGCATTTTGCAGTTGATTCTGAAAAAAATGAAACGGGCTAATCCGTTAACCAAGAAATTAAATTGGCGTGGCCTAACCATGGAATCACTATAGGCAGTGATTTACCAGTTATATCCCTGCAGTGTTCGGGTTGGCTGTGTTGATCACATAACTCAAATGAACTCATGCAGCGTCCAACAAAAAAGTAGGGCGTCCAATTTCTTCCTATTTTCCAAAAGACGCCCGGACGCCCCCCCTATCTAAAAGCCTGTGCAGGGGGTATGCCTATTTTGTTTTAGGCCATTTGGTGATTGAAGATGCCATTACATTTACAGTACTTGAGTGATATTGGCAAGCCAACAAGTTAGGCCACACCAATTTGATTTGTTGGTTCACGGGTTCACCCGCTTCATTTTTTTGGATTTGCAAAAGAAACAAAACATTTCAGCCTCTGAATCAACTCCAAAATGCTCATATTTTGGGCCCAACAGTGCAGTGGTTTGATTAAAAGTTGAAATTCAATGTTTGAATTACAAGCCAGCCTGGTATGTTGCCTTCATGGCACCTATCGTAGCTTTTGGGGCTATCATAAGATGCCTAGGTCATGGAGGTTATATTTACCTCCATGAAATGTGTCATGGAGGTTATATTTACCTCCATGAAATGTGTCATGGAGGTTATATTTTCAGTTGCGTTTATCTGTCCGTCCGTCTGTTGGTCAACAAGATAACTCAAGAACGCCTGGATGGATTGGTTTCATACTTGGTGTGTTGGTAGGGTGTGACGAAAACTGGAAATGATTAGATTTTGGTCCCCCTAGTGGCTTCCCTTGGTACTGCAGCGCAACTTCCGGTTTTGATATCTCGCGATCTGGACATGCTAGGGTCATGAAATTTTGATGGAAGGTAGCTCTCGTGATTGGGAAGAAGTCATATGAGTTTGGGCCCCCTAGCGGCTTGTTCTGGAACTGCAGGGCACTTTCTGGCGAAATGTTTAAAAGCCAATAAGTCCAGACAGGAACAACATATTTTCATTATTTTTGGTGTGTAGGTAGCTGAGAGAGAGATGTACATAATAAAATACAAATTATGCAAATGAGGACTTAATTTGCATAATTAATGAGGAAATTCTATAACTAGAATTCCGAGACCTCATACCTCCATGAAATATGATCTTGATATGTAAATGTAAATTTCTTCTTTAATTGTTCAAATGACCTCTGCATTAACATGATATATGCATCGTGATGTATGTTAACTTTTGATTAACTTACAGATGACCCAAGTATGACATTCTCATCATTCACCATTACGAAATCATAGAATTTTCACATTGATTATGCAAATTAGGCCAT